CATCATATAATCAACAAACACTGCAAAATTTTACGATACACCGCCATTTAACTTTCAATAATCGACTAATTTATGATAAAAATATTTTTATTGAAACTGTAAGGATAATAAGAGTTTTGTACTAATTGCAATTTTTATCAGTTTGTGTATAGATAAAAAAACTAAACACTAAAACTTTTTATCAATTTAACTTAGAAACATCGTTAATTTTATGATTTTCGATAGATGTCACTATTATCTTTTTAGAAGTAATTTGTTAGTATATTACTATCTACTAAAATGAAATAACAAAAACTAAAAAATGTACATTAGAATTTAAAATATAAATAACTATTTAAATGCTATATTATTTAATTTCTTAGTGGAAGCAAAATGTCATTGCTTTTTGTATTTTACGTTAGATGGCTCTGTTTTGAAAAAGTAAATGCAACAATAATATTATAGTTTGTCGGTGTAGTTCAATTTATTATACAACGGTTAACACTAATGTTCGACTTTATTTATAAATATTTTATTTATTTTAATAAAACACTTCAATCATATAAAATAGAAATTAACATCTAAAGGAAGGAAAATACTTAACCCTTCTTTTTTGAAGTTCTGTAATCGGATAAAAAGTAATTGATAGAATCAGGCGTTACTTTGCGGAAATCCATTACAATAAAGACATTAATTAATTTGCAACTATCCGCATAAAAATACAGTAATGTGTCTTACCTGGATTGAAGAGCACCTCCCTCCCTCAGTTGCGTGCACTAATCCTGTCACCACTAATCCCAGCACCACTACTCCCAACACCACTACTCCAGGCACCACTACTCCCAACACTACTATTCCAGGTATTTCAGGTTTCCAGGTCGTCGATGGTGTGTCTTTCTTGGAATAGTGGTGTTGGGAGTAGTGGTGCTGGGGTTAGTGGTCACGGGATTAGTGCACGCAACTGAGGGAGGGCGGGAGGTGCTCTTCAATCCAGGTAAGACACATCATTGTATTTTTATGCGGATAATTGCGAATTAATTAATGTTTTTACGGATAAAAAGTAACCTATAAGTAGCCCCGGGTGCCTCTACCTACACACAAAATTTCATGGAAATTTGTTCACTAGTTTTTGCGTGAATCTTTAATACACAGACAGACAGACAGATAGACGAATAGACAGACAGACGGATAAAAATTCTAAAAACCACTAATATGGCTTCAGTACCCTCTGTTTAGTCCCCTGGACTTGTTTTTTCTAGAAAATATTAGAATTACAGACACGACCTTACTACAGATTTATTATATGTATAGATTACAACCCAAGCTTTTTGGTAGATCAAAGGTAAACACTATAAACAATACTGGCCTTAGTACAGAACCTTGTGGCACACCGCTTTGTATTTATTTTTCATTTGAGAATGTGTCACCAATCCTTACTCTGAAGTTTCTTTGTAGTAAAAAAGTCTCAATCCAAGCTATGTAAAAGCCTGCCTATTGGTACTTAATCAAAAGCTTTTTCGTAATCCAGATATATAACATTCATTGGTTCTCGATAATTTTGACTGTTGACCCAGGTTGATAAGCAAGTCAACAAATCGAATATTGTTTATCTATGAGGACAAAAACCATGTTGCTGATTGCCAATAGTGTGTTGTTTGCTAAGGGACTGTCTCATTTACCTAGTATCTTTTTCATGACTTTGCACACCACACTAATTAAATTTATCAGTCTAGTACTATCATCAAGTCCGCAGTTCTTTAAAATATGTATGGATATTTCGTTGGGGCCAGGTGAAGAGTCTATATTCATTTCTTTGATAGCAGCTTGTATTTTGGATACCGTGAATGTGATGTCCTCTATAGCTTCAGTTGCTCTTTGGTTTGGGTCTAAAGCAGGAAATTCTTCTTGTGGTTCTCTTTTAAATACATTAGAAAAATGGTCTGCTGCTACTTGGGCTATTTTTTGGGATGTGTCACAGATTGCCCATTATTGTTCTGTAAAATTTTTGGTTTACTAAGTTTTGAGGTGATTTGCTGCCTTATGTACGAGTACAATTTCTTTAGTCCTAGTTCTAATAGTCGATTATTGTAACTGCCCTTGCTGTGCATCCTTATTAGTCAGTGTTATTTAGCTTCCTGTATTCCTTTATCTGACCTTGTTACAGTGTATTATCTCTTCCAAAGTATTTTTTTCTCTTATTAACTCAGATGTGACATTCTTTATCCATGGCTTATTTACTTTATCAAATGTTTTTACAAGAGGAATATGTGCTGGAAGATGGTTCTGTCCATCGCCTGTTTCAGTTTTCCTCTATCACCAGTTGCCACCCACATAATTACATTGGAAAATGGATATTTTCATGGTAAAATTTATTACGAGAAAGATATTATAAAATAATTTATGCGTTTTTAGAATAATTGTTATATTGTTATTGATTGTTTTTTCATATAATCATAAAGATTCAGTTTGTATTTATATACTTTATCTATATTTATACCCTATATTAGCGACTCACCACCACTTGCCCTATTATATTAATGTGGCGTTATTTAGATTTAAGCCAGTCAAAGGCCATTTATTTTATCCATTTTTCATCTTTGCCAAAAAAGAAAAACTTCAAGTATCTTAGTTAAAATAAAGCCAAGATTTCTCCTTTATTTACTTTTTAACATTTCATAAAGTATCATTACAATTGGATCAGCAATTCTGAAAAAGCTAGGACAGACTGACAAGAAGAATATATTAAAAACAAGTGAAAGCAAGTTTTTAAGAATTTTGTATTAACTTTTTTTTAATATACCGTTTTTATCATATTTTTGCATTGTCATCCGAATTTGAGCTATATTCAAAATTTCAAGTTTCCAGCTCATCGGAAAGTTAGTTTAAATCTCTACTAAATTTCACCTGGAATGATAGACTGACAGACAGACAAACAAACAAGAAAGTGTCTTAATAGCATTTCATAGCAGCTCCTATGATTATAAAGGTCAGAGTTCATGACTACTGTATTTCTGGGTTCTGGATAATAGTTTCTAATATTCACGCGTATTGTTACTAGCGTTTTTGAATTGCCTATGTATCATATGCCTTGCAGTTCCAACGGTCATTGAGAACTTGGTTGTTTCGCATATAATAGTAGAAGAACCAGGGTGAAATCCTCGACAACATCAATGTAATTTACAATTGCAATTTTAAGTGCTGATTTTTACGTGTTCCGCCGTAAAAGAAAACATCGGTAGGAAACCTGCATGTCTGAGGAAGTCCATAAAGCCCTCTCAAAATTATGAGGTTGTAGGTAAGACTATGCAAAGCGGTGAGACGTATAGGCTATAACTTCCTTTTTAAGTCATAAATACATTCTAATCACTACCAATATTGTCAATTAAAATTTGATTGACAAATGAAAAAATGAAACTGATTTACAGCTAGAAATGGATTTTCAGCAATGTACGATTTGCATTAATTGCTGGTCTTTATCTATGAAATTGCAGTTTTGTTTAGGAAATTGAAATATTTAAAGACTTGGATATCATTCTAATCTTTCGGCGAAGCGTTCTTTAATGCTTCTTCGGAATTGAAAATTTGGCGATTTAAAAGTTATCTAAACTTCAAAAAGTGAAAGTCTGATTAGGAATGGTCTGGAGAATATTGGTAATGAGGAAGGGCCTCTAGCTTTAACTCTGTTAACTTTGCCTACGGTTATGCTGTGTGAGGTTGTCCGTGTACTTGAAGAAGCAATGGTGGAAAACAGTTGGAGCAATCTGGGCTGTTTGAGTGACAACTTCTCCACCGTCATTTGCAATTCTTTACAATAATGTAATGGTCAGAAGTAACTGGTAACAGATGACAAGAAGCTATAGTACTCCTAAAGTACACAGTATTGTAGAAAAAATAAACCCTAAGAAACTAAAGTAACAAACTGAATTTGAAAAAGGAATAACACTTTAAATCAATATAATTTATTTGAAATCTAAGTCAAACCAATTGTAGAGATGGGCCGAATATTCATATTCGGCCGAATATTCGGCTAAATCAGCGAACATTCGGACCGAACATTTTTATAGTATCTAATGTATTTAAATGTACGAATTAAGTAATGCGATGTCTTTTACTGTAGAATGTATATTTTATTTATGGGTTAAATCTACTCGTACTTACTCTAGTCTAGAGTGTGCCTCAAATGCATAAATTTATACATTTCGCTTGAATTTGGTTTGAACTTCGTTTTGAATTTGGCATAGTAATATTGTTTAATTAGGAATGATGTATAAGTTTCAAATAAATTTGTCAATAGGAGACGCGCGCTACCTACTGTAAGTTAATTGTACTATGCCTATAACCTTCGCGCAAGTGCAAGCAATATTTGACTAAATTGACGCTAGATGGCATGAATTTATGAAATGGATTGGTTTATTAAGATAATTTTATTAAATACTAGCTGGTATCCGCGGTACTCTTGTAGAAGAAATTATTATAGAATTATCGTTTTAAATTTGGCAGAGTTTTATACATCAGCATTCTTATTAAACAATATGTTTCAAATAAATTTCTACTGAAAGTTAATTGCCTATAGATATATAAAAACCTATAACCTTCGCGCAAGTGCAGGCAATAAGTTGACTAAGTTTTACCGCAAAAAATGATGAACGGTATGGCAACGCATAAAATACTAAAAAACATTTTTTTTATATTGTATGGTAAATGTTATTAATTTAATAAATTTGTTAATTTTGAAATAAAACAAAAGCAAAACATTTAAGAACTTTTATTTACTCCTGAAGATTTATGTTTCTCTTTTTAGTGTCAAAAGAAGTTGTCACATAAAAAACCCAATAATACTATGCCCAACCCGGGATCAAACCCAAGTCATCATGCTCAGCAGTCGCGCTTGCGACCACTAGACCAACGAGGCAGTCTAAGTATCTAGTCTAGCCTACTTAAATAATCAAATTTTAAGTTTTTTAAGTTTAATAAAAATTGAACAAAATATTACATTTCCCAATATTTTAAATCGAGTGACTTTAAAAAATTAATTTATCCAATCGCTCAGGATCTAGACAACTCCTTTCGTCAGTTGCAATATTTTCTGCAACAGAAAAAAGCCTTTCACAAGGAACAGATGTTCCAACTACGCAAAAGTATTTGTTGGCAATCGGAGTTATTGAGCTGTACAAAGAATTTCTTTGGTGATACCAATATGTGATAGGAGCCATCGTTTTGAAGTCGACGACAGGCTGTGTTAAATAACGTTTGAATTCATCATCTAAGCCTTGTCCTTGATTTTCTTGTCGAAGTGATTGTCGCTGAATTTTTACCAACTTATTGTGGAATTCTGAAATGTTGGATTCTTCTGCTTCCTTCAGCTGGTTTTCCAAATTGTTCTCTGGCTCTTCATGACTTAAATTATTGTGTAATTGTTTTTTTGAATTGATAATCATACTATTAATTTTATCAATAGCTCTGGAGCATGCTATTCTATCCGAAAAATGAATTTTTTTGAATCTAGGATCCAGTAGTGTGGTGATAGCTAACATATGAACTTGTTCCACTGTACCAAATCTCTTCCTTAACGCTTCCAATATCAAATTTTTTGTTGCAGCACCAATATTCGTTTCTGTCTTCATCACACTATAAGTTTCCAAAAGGCAGGACACTATTGGTATAATTTTGCTTGACGTTACAAATTTTTCCACTGATACTTCTTTTGTTACAGCTTCCAGGGGTTTTAAAATATTTATGAGATCTTTAATAGCATCTAGTTGACTGGCTGTTAACATAGGTGGAGCTTTCGGATGATTAAGTAATATTGGGGCAAGTAGCTCGGATAACTTCACGAACCGAACTAGCTGATAGTAAATGGAATTCCATCAGGTGCAAACTGACTGAATCAATTTGAGCGGTACTGCTTTATCATTTTGCGCTTTACGAAGAGCATCAGCCACATTTACATTTTGGTGACAGTATCGTGTTAAATCTTTTACCATTTTTAGTAACTGTTTTGCACCTTCAATGCCAGCATGAGCTACTAAATTTAAAGTGTGGGCGAAACACCATAGGTGTTTTTGTTTACCAAATGCAATTGTTACGGCCTTGACAATATTCGCACCATTATCAGTAACAACTGCTGCAATTTTTTCTGTAGTTATTCCCCATTTTTCAATCATTGTTGTTTGTATTTGACTTAAATAATCAGCATTATGGGGCTCAGTTAAATGGGCCACACCGAAATTTATGCTAATTAGTTCACTTTCATAAATAAAATGTCCAGTTAACCCCATGTAGCTCCTTATGTGTATCTGTCCAAATATCTGTAGTCATACATATAGACTCGACGTCTAATAGCTTTTCTCTGAATTGCAAAGAAAGAAAATCATATGTGTCATCAATCATTTGTGTAATTGTCTGCCGTGAAGGAAGTTTGTATAAAGGCACTGCTATTTTCATTAAATATTGGAAACCTTCTTTTTCAACTGTACTTAATGGTAATGTATCCTTGCAAATCATTAACATGATAGCATTATTTAATTGTCCATACTTCTTTCCGTTTACTGTAAAATAAACATAAAATGTATACAAATATTACTGCCCATAAATATTATATATTAGATATGCAAAGTAAGTAATTCATTATATAGCAAAAAATCTCACCACCAAACGCTTTTATATTATTAACACATGAATCCATTGTTAGCTGATTTAGTTTTGACATTTGTGATACTGATGACTCTATACTTTCTTGGTCGGAATCACAGTACTCTTTTGAACTAGTCAAACTCAAAACATCATCTATGCCTAATTTCTCCTTTGATGTCGATGAGGTAGCAATATTGACATTTGTCTGAAAAGAGTAAAATTTTTTTTAAGGATAAAAACTTCAAGAATACACAATTATCAAATAAGCATGCATTGATAAAAAAGATAAGCAGTGACAAAAAAGGTACAGGTACACACTCCAGTTTGCTTTTTGTTATCACCAACACCAAGACCATCACTTGCCACCACCTGTTTTGGTTTTCGTTGACTTACAGATTTAATACATGGATGTCTTCATAATAAGTGATTGCGTAAATTTGTTGTATTTCCGCATGTTTTCACTTCGTTATGACAATACTTGCATACGCCACTCGATCCCTTTTTTACAAAGTGATTCCACGTATCACTTTTAGTTGACATTTTAGGCTAAAAAGAACAACAATACTTTAACAAAAATGCAAACTGCAACGTACATTTCTCGATAAATTGGTTTCAATCTAATAACTCACTATTTATCAAATTTAAATGAATGCTACACGAACTTAATACTGGTTATTTCCTTACTATAAACCTCTATAAACTTCAACATATAAAATTTATTTACAGTATCTAGGTATTTAAAAAATACTCTGTCTGTACTTACAGCTCACAGTATGTATGTTTTTGATAATGAATAAAGTAAATTCACAAGTTCACAGTTCAAACTTTAAACAGGTTCACAGCTCACAGCTATAAACTATAATATAATGATGTACACAGTAATCTATGTTATGTAGTCTTTGTTCTACTTTGTTCACCGGTCACAGCACAGATAAGTTAGATCCACATTCCACAGGTAAGATTAGAATTAGAATTTTAGAAATGAAAAGACAGCTTTTCGATATTGTTGGATGCGTTCATAAATATTTATTTTATTCTAATATATATATTGCGTTCAAATTATAAACCAAGTACGACCGGTTGTTTTTGCGTTCCCCAACAGCAAAAAATTTAAAAAATACGGTATCTTACCACAGCAGTCAGTTTGGGAACTTTATCGCCAGTTCTTGAGTCAGATGAATCAGTCCGATTCGAGAGGTTTTTGGGTCGATTCAGCGAATCGATGCGGTGCTCCGAATCGATCTAAAAAATCGATTATTTTACTCCAAAGAATCGATTTTTCGATTAACCGATTTTAGATCGACATGCCTAGCTTTACGGTAACAAGTTTGGGCATAAATTGGTTGGGTACCGAGGTTATCCTGCCGAATAATGTTCGGCCGAATATTCGGTTCGGTAAAAGTTTTACCGAAAATTCGGCCGAATATTCGTATTCGGTGAAATCCATATTCGGCCCATCCCTAACCAATTCCACAAAAAGGCAATTTCATATGTAAAGATCTAATATTTTCCGCAGGGCCTTTCATTCTTTATAACCGTCATACTCTTAGTATTATCATATTATGACACATTATATTAATGTTATTAAACCCTCTGAGGAATGAGGGGAGGCCTGTGCCCAGCAGTGGGACGTATATAGGTTGTAACTTTTATAACTTTATACCTTGATGGCGGCTCCACATTATCGGCGTGAATTCACGCGCGAATTCACGCCATGAATTCACGACACAAGTCGCGCCCTCCACATTGTGCACACGGGATGCTCACAATCGTTCGTGAAACCGGCCGCGAAACGGATGTAGAAGCTGCTACTACAATAACTTGCAATAACTGCTGTGGCAACATATCACTATTTAGACATCTAAAACGAGAAATTCATTAGAAAGCGTTGGAAGAAAAGAAGATGGTGTATGACTAAAATACATCGTCTGTACGCCTTTGTACCCCGTAACGAACTAGCACGGGGCCGTGGATGTGTGCACGTGAACGCCGCGCGAAGGGTGCGTGAACCCTTTGTCGCGGGAAAAAATACCAATTCTGATCGGAGAACAGGCGTGAACGCGCGTGAATCCCGCGAAAACCATCCGCATTCAAGTTCACGCCTGTTTACGGAGCATCACGGCGATAATGTGGAGCACAATATCAGGCCTTTGTCACTCCTGCTACCTGCGTGAAATAATTACCTACAATCACGAGACTCCCCAGGTTACATAGGCAATTGGGGCTAGCGCGTTCTAGGCGATTGAATGTTAAAGTTAACGCTGTTTACGTAAATAGTTTTTTTGTAATAAATGCCTGTTGGAATAGTTTTTAGTGTTTGGTATAGTATATTTTTAACTGTAAGATAAAATAGCTAAGCATTGCGATTCGCGACGAACGGCCTTGCAAGTTACATACATTGGGCGTTACAGAACTCATGTTTCCCATTCAAACCTTAACGCCGTCTACTACCAAATGGTACCATTTGGAAACAGCGAAGCCGGTCTTGCTCTTTATAACCGAGACACAGGTGCCCTCTCCGGCTGAATACTTCGTATCTCCTACCCGGGGTATAAATTAGAACACTCCTTTGTGCCCAGGGTTGGAGTTTTTTTTTTGTTTTGGGGGACGGGTAAACGAGCATACGGCTCACATGATGGTAAATGATTACCGGGTCATTCCATGTCAATTCAACACAATTTTGAGATTTTCAGAACTGATGTCTCAGATTTTCATGATTTATGTAAATATGGACTTATGAAAAAATACCAAATTTCAGTTATGTTTTACAATTATGTTTGAAGTTATTAATATTTAAAGATTTAAATTTTTAATTGATATAAACCTGGGAGTGGTCTCATTTTAAAGTCGTTGAATGGGGCTTTTTATGGGGATATGCCACAAGATAGAGTTACAATTTAAAAAAATTAAAATTAAAAAAAATTTAAGTGGAAATTTTCAAATTAATATCAAGTTTAATTTATAATGTCTTAAGACGACACATCGAAAACGCTATCGCCGTACTGATCCGAGTGAATACATAATTTCTATAAAGAAGAAACGCCGTCATAAGGTCTAAAATAGCGTAGCGCTCGCGACGATTAAAAGCGCTTAGAAATTGTCAGAATCTTAAAATATTTTTAAAAAAAATTATTAATAAATTAAAAAATAAGTAAATTATGAATATTGATGTTATGAATATATATATTTGAGTGATTCCCAAGCATATAGATCAAATAATTTCGTTGTAATTTCAACTATAGTGATTTTTTAGAGGTGTTTTCGCAAATAATTATGATCGAGTCAAAACTATACAATCGTGTTTTTGAGCAATCAAATTGAAGACATGAATTTAACTATATCAAAATCCCACTTTCGTTAGTGGTGTCATAGTCCTATACTATTCGATAAAAGAGATGCATTTTTTCACGGTGTCGCCTCAATACATACAGCAAAATTCTATCATGGGATCTCAATGGAATCAGGAGATACAGAGCTTCAGAAATACACATGTTTTATAAATAATGTACCAAATGAGTAAAATTTTATTTTTTAATTACAAATTCTAATAATGCGTATTTAGCAGGAATGGGGGATATGATAAGGATATAGAACGACGTAGACGTAGAGGTAAGAATAACTTTGAGAAGGAAGACGATCGGAGGATTCAGTTGGGCTGGGCAGCATTTAGAAAGCTTCGTCGGGTTTTCTCGTCGCCCATACCGCAAAGTCTGAAGACAAAAGTCTTCAACCAGTGCGTTCTGCCTGTACTTACTTTTGGTGCCGAAACGTGGACACTGACGATACGTCTGCTTCAAAAGCTTAAAGTCGCTCAGCGAACAGTGGAAAGAGCTATGCTCGTAGTTTCTCTGGTAGACAAAATTCGAAATGAAGAAATCCGCTGGAGAACCAAGGTTACTGACATAGCTTTCCGTGTTTGTAAGCTGAAGTGGCAATGGGCTGGTCATGTCTGTCGCAGAGGTGCCAACCGGTGGAGTAGACGTGTTATGGAGTGGAGACCGCATCTAGGCAAACGTAGTATGGTACGCACCCTGACCAGATGGAGTGACGATCTGCTCAAGGTGGCTGGTAGAAACTGGATGCGTGTAGCCGAAGATCGGCACGTATGGCAATTCACAATGCTGTGTTGATCCTTACTTTAACGTATGGTAGTGAAAGTTGGGTGTGGCAGAAGGAACACGAGAGTAGAATAAACGCAGTAGAAATGCGGTCGTTAAGGAGTATGTTAGGGCTGAATCTGAATGACAGGGTAAGAAATTGTGTGACAAGAGAGGAGTGTGGTTTACAAGATGATATGACCAGGATTAAGAAAGGAATGCTTCGGTGGTTTGGTCATGTGGAAAGAATGAATAAGGAAAGAGTGATAAAGAAAATTCATGTTGCAGAAGTGAACGGCAGAGTCGGAAAGGGACGTCCTAGGCGAAAATTTATTGACCAAATTAGCGATTTATTGAAAACGGGCCAAATTAGGAGTACCCTTAACCGACGAGCATGTATGATGCGTAGGTATGTGGATGTGAAGGAGGCGAGAGAGGTCTGTCAGGATCATGCCAAATGGAAGTCTGTAGTCTCTTGCCATTAATATTACTATCTCTATATCTGCCATAAATTTTAATGATTTCTTATATTTACGCGAACACTACACATTGAAATAATACTAGTTTTTACGGATTTTATCGCGATTTTATATATTTAATTATACCCGACGTTACGAGCTCCTTACAGCACCCAGGGTCACGGGGGGGGGGGGGGTCTGAGATGTTCAACGTCCAGATGTCATAGTTAACAGCGGTTACCATAGATAAAATTTAACTTTTGTTCCGTTCTACACAGTATGAACTTTGGTATCTTGAAGTCTTGCAGTTGTATGCTTGGGTTGGGATTTAATTTTATTTATTATAGGATCCCAAGCAGATGGTAGCACCCAGCCATCTTCTCTATTGAAATTAGGATGTTTTTTGATTTCAATAGCCTCGCGAATCATCCTTGGAAGGAATCGGTGTTCTTTAGCGAGACGAATCCGATTTGTGGTCTATCAAATCTGATGTAGTGACGGGGGCGATCCTGTACGTGTTTACAGACTGCAGACTTCCCGGAGCGTCGATTCTTCACATCAGCTATATGTTCTTTAACGCGGGTTTTAATTGATCTTTTAGTTTGTCCTATGTGGGAGAGACCACATTCACAATCAAGCTTGTACAATCCTGCACCTTGCAGAGGGACGTTACATTTGACTGATGGTAAAAATTGACCAATCTTCTTCGGCGTTTACTGTTACAGGTGTTTACTGTCACAGATCCCTCGTGCTCTCTGAAACAAAGATTTACCCACGGTAGCTAACTGTGAAGGATGGTGGTGAGAATCACCGTTTAAATATCTATCTGTATGGGTCTTTTTTCTATACACAGTATGGCTCAAGGTGTTATCAGGATTTCGAATTACTAACACATCTAGAAAAGCTAAAGAATTGTTTGAGGCTGGCTGCCGAGCTCCACCATGTCAAGCAACGTTTGAGGCAAACAATTCTTTAGCTTTGTGAAGTGACAGTGAAGTGAACAAATGTGTCAATATCTTCCAACAATGGAAGTCTCGAATGAATTGATTTGTTTATTATATTTTTTATATATTGAAAGACCGAGGTAGAGTGTATAATAGCGACAGTAGCCTAATGGCAGGGCGCGGATCGCGAACTCAAAAGACGTGGGTTCGAATCCGCCATTTGACTGCTGTCGTGAACCACTCCTAACACAAGCCTTTCAAGCTTACCAGGAGTGGTTAAAAGGAATATTAGTAATGTTAATTAATAAGATTACTAATATTTAAAAAAATTAATGAGTTAATTTGTTTTTTTCGATTTAATTAATTTGTTATCCTTAACTTTACCCATAATATTGGTGTCCATGTGACCTTGCTGCATTAAAAAAATGTTAAAGTAATACCCACTGCTTGTTTCATTGTAATGTGTTGCTTATTTCATTCAATGAACTATTCAAAATTTCTGAAACAATACTTTTCATTCTGACTATTGTGAGGAATAAGAGAAAAAAAAATATTTCAAAGACATGTGAAGTTCGCCAATAAGCATTGGGGCAGCGCGGCGGACACTTCCTTGCCCTAAAACCCTCTCAGAAATGAGGGGGAGGCCTGTGCCCAGCAGTGGGACGTATATAGGCTGTAACTTTACTTTTTACTTTAATACTGATTCTGGTATTTTTCACAAAACAAGTATTTTTGAAGTCCTGTATCTCTTGATCCCATTGAGATCCCATGATAGAATTTTGCTGTATCTATTAAGTCATTATAGACTATATTTGATAATATACATGTTATCGAGTTTCCCACTGCATTTGCTGCTACGCAGAGAGTGACAAGAGTCCCTCTCCGCTGATGTAATGGAACTAACTTGCTTGGACCCTTTTGGAGCCAAAATTTTTCTCAGTTTCTGCAACATTGTGATGCCAGTCTCATCTATATTCCATATGCGTGATAGAGAAAATTTATATTTGTCCAACACGTCTGCCAGCTTAGAAAAAAAATTATTAGACTCTGGCGATCTTACAGACAAAAAGACTGGTTCCGTTTTAAAAACGCAGTAAGCCAATCAACTCTTGCTTCTTTATTATCAAGCCATGATTGCGGCGTTGCAATATTGTACTTAAATGCATAGGCAAATGCTAGTTGCCTGATATCTTTTGGCGTCAATCCGTAGTAAATTTGGCTGCTTTTAATCAAGTAACTCACCAAAATGCCCTCTAGTTCATCATTAAAAACTTGTCTATTCTTCTGGTAGCCAACTGTGGAAGATTCTATAGGTGTGCCCTTCTCTTTTGCTTTTTTCTTTTCTTCAAATATATTGTTAGCGACATATGACATAACCCAAAATCTTTTGCGCTGCCGCGATTTTTTTTAGTTTTATCCTCTTCCGAAATAGCTGCTGCTTTTTCGTAAATCTCTAGATATTTTTCCACGCTCATTTTTTCTTTAATATGTCCTCATCTTACAAAAACCACAAATTATGTAGCTCCAATTATATCAGTCGGCAAGCAGCACTACGTGGTAGGTAGTAACAAGTAACAACCTGCCCCGAGCAAATGTCATTGTTAGCCCCAATGCCAAAACTGACCTTTTAAGGTTAAGTAGTAAAAACGCAAATAAGTATAACTGTATAAGCGTAGATTCGTTGCAAAAAGAAAGAATAAGGGCACACATATCACAACACACACATATCTGCTTTAACGGAAAAGAGATTGTAGACCAATATTACGAAAAAACGAAACTGTAACTACTTCTAACTTACGGTTTTGACGGCAACGTGTACGGGCTCCTCTCACAAAAGCGCCTGTGGCGCCAGACTCGCGCGGCGTGCCAGCCGGCGGTGGCGTGATCATTTGTATCTTTCTCACGTCAATATAGCATTTTCAGTTTAGCCACCGTTGCCGCTGTAACTGTCACGAGTAGCTCCAGTCTGCCATATCGGAGAATCGGTCAAAATTGAAGTCATATCAAAATAACTGCATGCAAATATTTGTATGCTGTTCAGATATGAATAACCATTTTTAAAATTTTTGTCTACCTGTCTGTTCGGGCTAATCTTCGGAATGTCTGAACTGATTGTAATGAAATAAAAAAAAAACTCATTGCAATGCCAGGAGTGATCTAGGCTATATATTTTATCTAAAAAACTTGGGGATGTTTGTTATGAAAAAAATATATATATATATAAAATGATAAAATTATTGGTTTTTGATTATATTAATATAGTAGATAATTTTGAATGTTGTTTTGTAATTTTTTTATCGTACATGTTGATTACCTGAGTTTTTTATTACTTTTTTGATTTTTAAATATTTTACAGTGCGCGCTAAAGCGCCGCTTCAGAGTACACTGCCGGCCAAAAGTTTAAGACCACCTTAATTAAAGTAGGAAAATTAAATAAAACTTCAATAAAATATTAAAAGTTTAATTAAACTATTAAATCATCCAATAAAACACTTTGACAATCAAAATACTCGAAAAGCGTAAAGAAATATTAACAGTCTATGCTAAAAAAGGCTATAGTTAGCTAAACAGATTTTTCATCAAAAAATCCTCCTTTGCATTCTATGACTTTTTTCACAAGTCTCGGCATACGGGCAATCAATTTGTTGATAGTGTCTTGTGATATATTGCTCCAAATTTGGCACAAAGCATTCCACATTTCTTCTCGCGAGGATGGACCACAATTACGGACGTTCCTATCAAGCTCTTCCCACAGAAGTTCAATGGGATTGAGATCCAGGCCTCTGAAGAGGCCAAACCATGTAATTTCACACCCCTTGTGCCTCTTTCTCTTCCAAATATCCTCTGCATAATTTTGAGCTATGCTTAGGATCATTGTCCTGTTGGAAAATGAATCCATCTGCAATTAATCGCAATCCCGAAGGAACAGCATTTTGTTCTAATTTTTTTTGTACACTTCCTTTTACATAATTCCGTCAATTTGGATCAAATCGCCAGTTCTTTGGCTAGAAGAAGCAACCCCAGACCATAATTGAGCCACCACCATGCTTGATTGTTGGGACTACACAGTCTGGCATCATCTTTTCTTGGTCACTGCGTCGAACGTAAATTCTTGGTTTTGAACCGAATAGCTCAAACTTGGATTCATCGGTCCAAAGAACTTTTTTTTAAATCTTCTTCAGTCCAATCTCGATGGGCAAGGGACCATTGCGTCCGTTTTTCCTTGTTTTGTGGCCTTAGCAGAGGTTTTCGAACGGCGACACGACCATGCAATTTCTCATCTCTCAGTCGCCGTTTTACTGTAGTCAATGATAAAGGTTTAACTCGAGTTTTGTTTACTTCAACGCGGATTTCTGGTGCCGTTAACCGTCTATTTCGCTAGCTGGTAACAACAATGAAATGATCTTCACTTGACGTGGAAGCTCTCGGCCTTTCCGAGCGTGAACGACCTTGAAAATAGCCTGTCTCCCTGTATAGAGTTATTATACCATGAACACAAGTCTTAGATAACTTCAATTGTTAAGCAATCTCACGTTCGGATTTGCCTTCATTATGGCAGAACCCACTTCACTGCTAATTTCGCGTGTTTTTCCCATTTTAAGACGACTTAGCTGTAGAAACCACAAGTTTAGACTAATTGAGATTGTTTGTGAACAAAACCATGTAAAATCAGGTAATGATAAGTCGGAAACACGTGTTTTTAGAACCTAAATAATCCTAATTATTGACCATTGGGAAACAAGAGCAAAGTAATTAGTTATTAGCCCATCATAAAAATATTATTACGACTCTGCCACCTGGCTTTAACACGCAGCGTTTGTCGGTGTTTGAAAATAATACATGCTTATTATCCAATAACTCGAAAGTGAATAAAAGAATGACTTCTTTAGATATTCGATATTATCAATAGAATATGCAGGTGTATATTTTTTATTTATCTTATGGGATTTCGTTACAATTTATAGATAAGTGTGGTCTTAAACTTTTGGCCAGCAGTGTACGCTTATACGTGCGGTTTGGAGCGTCACTTCACGAAGCTCGCTGCGAAACCTACGTATAAAGGTCGTTATTACCCAGAAATGCAATAGAAAAGACATTGAAGTAGTTTCTGTTACTTTTGTCCTATAGGATATATTTCCGATTTTTTGCATTATACAATTCCAAAATTTGATACAAAATTGTCGTATTATTCCCAGTTTTGGCTTCTATCTTACCAACATGTTTTTTATTTATGCATTTTTTGCATTACAAATGTTGAATATTGAAAATTGTTTTAAATCTTTGTTAGAACTGCTTTAATTTATAGTGCATATAGGTCATCCTTTGATAAATTTTTGTAAAAAATATTTTTTTTCAATACCTTAGATTGCACCTGCTGCAAAAAAATTATGGGACAAGGGTCCAGGTGCTGGGGGAGATAGTAAGGGTCCACATCATCTGCCACCACTACAACTAAACCCTGAACAAATGTGGCGTGATCCAACTTGGTCAGCTCAAGGTTTGTAAAGCATATAAATGTTACTATGTTGTGTGAAAGTATGAAATGTTCTCTTTCATACTTGTGCAGATATAAAATAAAATCAAACTTTTTAGCTGTTTAATATGTTTGTGAAATATTTACAATACTTGCGTGAATAACGATTATTAGAATGTTAACTTTTTTAATAATTTTTTCTTTAGCTGTTGAACATAATGTTGGTGTCCCCATGATGGGCACACGTCGTGGTGTCGCTTTTCCCGGTGGCGACGCTGGCAGCATCCTTTCACCTCGTGATACTGCTGGTCTAGGGGTCAAAATGGTTGAATATGTACTGGGAGGATCACCAACCGGTAAAAAATGTTTATTAATTTTGTTAAATTTTGTTAGCTAACCGTTTAACATTTAAAAACGTTAAATAGGAATAAAATAAAAGTAAGAAATTTATATTACCTTTATGCATCTAACAGAAGCAGGTGGTGTGGCTACTGGGAGTGGTGAGAAAGTAGCTGGTGTAGTGGCTGGGTTGCGCGGTATGGTGTTGGAAGAGCGAGCTGAAGATACCTCATCGTCACCATTTGAGAAAGATCTGCACGAATTACACGATCATAATAACCTTCCTAATGGACTACACAACGGGCAAGAAGATGACAAAGCATTTAAGTAAGTAATATAATAACAAATTATAGTACCAAGTTATATTATTGCTAATCATGTAATTTAATGTCTCATCAATCAAGTCAAGTAATCAGTCGCGGACCTGGCAATGCGGATTTCTAGAGCTTTGTCAAAAAGCATAATATTGGATAGTTTGTGGTACTGTAGTGAAGGTCACCGGGCGGTAGTGCTAAACCGTCCGAGATCGCAGTGTACGTACGGCGCGCGGGTCGCGCGGGCAATAACCGCACTCGTGGATCATGGCCTCTGTCAATGCCACTCGCTCCAGCTCCGCTGCGCCGGCGAGTCGTCGAGGCCTCCCCTCCCTGCACCTACTCACCGATAGTCAACGCTTCTATACCATACCCCACCGGCGCACGCCGACGGACGTAATCTTTTATCACGCCGCTATAAAATATGATTCATAATGTTAACAGCTTTCCCCAGATAATTACGTCGTGCAATTTCCATTTCCAAACTGGCAGGTGCCAAATCTAAACGGTTTATGCGTTTGTTCAGTTCATTAAAAATGAAATAAAACTTTAATAGCAAATTACTCAACAATGTTAATATAATTTGAAATATATTATTTTGCTATTATCATTAAAGGTACGGTTGGTCATAATATTTTGAGCGCAGTTAATTAATTACTGGATATATTGCGACATATTTTTTGAATAATCGGATCCACTTTTGCCTTTTTCGGCTACGGGGCATGTTCCTTTCATTCCAGTATCAACCCTAATTTTGTGGCTCGCATATTAAACGTAAAGTGGCTGTATTTATTTTAATAACTTATACTTTTTGGTCTTATTCAAAAAAAAAAAACAATAGGTTTATGAGCTTGGTCACTCATAAAGGTTTGCGAAAAATCAAAAAATGTCCTATAATATAGATGATTAAAACTATAGTTTTAATTATCTTTTCAGAATTTTTTTACCAGCATCTATAAAATGTTTCATGCAAATGAACCTATTTTCGTAACACTTTCCAATCAGACACCTCTTCTGCTAGCGCATCGTCCAGCGATGTAGACTGTATTCCTTTCTATTTTTTATTTTAGGAAATAAATAAAAGTCACATGGTGGCAAATAAGGGCTGTAAGTAGGTCATACTGACCTAAAAGCTTGTCTACACTGGTTAAGCTGTCCTGAAAGTACAGTTTAAATCTTGGCTTACGCTTAGAACTTGGCTGGCTTGTTGTCAGGGTGCAGCGGTAGCCCGTGGAGCCCCGTGTTCGGTCGCTTGTTGATCACAGCAGTGAAAATTTATGATAAAAATTTGGTAGTACATCCTTCGGCACTGATACTTTTTAGATTTCGTAAAGGAAATCAGACTCCCCGTCACATGCTTGATTTTAGTAGGCGGTTGGCTCATTTTGTAATAGTGCAACCGTGGACTGGTGAATCGTTTCTGGGTCGTATTGATAAATCTAAGATGTCACCTATACTAATAATGTTAACACGCCGAGACGATCCTACTTTCAAATTCAGTGATCGTGTTACGGCACTATTCCACGCAGGCCTGCTTATGAGAATTAGTGAAGAAAAGAAAAGAAGTGTAGAAACTATTCTCCTCATGCGAAGGTGTTCGCTTTAAATCGAGTAAATGCTTCTCGACCCAATCTACAATATATGCTAACCCTCTTCATATGTAACCTGGAGGTCGCCAGGGCGCGTCTGGAGCTGGCACTGGACGCGACATCATGCGAACCGCCAGCCGAGCGAGAGGTACTGCACGACCACCCATCAGCCCCTCGCATCCATCATCCCCACCAGCGGGCTTGGTGTCGGCAGGGTCTTCGCGGGCCCAGCAATCGGCACCCGCCACTGGTGGAGTACGCCGCATGCGATGGACAACCGAAATGAATACTAACGCATTGCGGGCGTATTTTAGGATGAAAGGGGGAGAAGTTGGAGGTTTGGCGTATCGGGCTACGATGCATCGTCTTTTTGCTGAGCTGGAGCCATCTTTAACCGTCTCAGAGCAAAACCTGGCAGACCGGGTTCGGTATATCTTGCGCTCAAATAGTCGCCGAACTCGAACGACTACCACGTGAGGCTGTTCCCTCATCGGATGAAAATGCTACGGCTGAGGATGCGGCGCCACAAATTGCAGAGCAACCCGCAAACGTGCATGCCGCCGTGAATACCCCAGTTGTGGTTGATTCAAACGATGATGGAACAGTCGCCCAGGAACTGGAATTAGAGCATATGAGGAGTACATTGGAAGAGGCGATTGTGGAAACGCGCAGTACGCTTCTCGAAAATCGACCGCGACTTCCCCGCATAGCCCTAAGCAAGTGGAATCAGGCTGTCGTGAGGGCTCTGAACCCAATGCTGGTGACCTATTTGGAAGCCAGCCGGGACCTTTGCGAGACGGACTCAATTCTTTTTGGCGCCGCATTGGCAGTGTGCCGTATTATAGGCGCCAAACTTTCTACGGCTGGACGCGCTACTGGACAAAGTAACGCTATCCCAGCCTGGAGAAAAAGAATTGAAGAACGTATCGCAAAGGCTAGGGCCCTCATCGGCAGACTGATATGCTTCAGGTCAGGCAACAACAGGCCAAGGATTGTGCGCACCGTCAGGATGGCGTTTGCTGGACAAATGTTAGTTTGTCCCAGCCGGATATAATGCAAAAACTGACGGAGCGCATAGACGACCTGAAGCAGAGAATCGCTGCTTGGGGAAAGCGGATTCGACAATATACCGAGAGGTCGACACGGTTTAACCAGAATCGTCTCTTCCAGAGTGATCAGAAGAGGCTCTATAAATCGTTGGAGCGACCAATGGTAAGTGGAACGGGCCCAGCACCGAATCAGGCCGACACTGTAGCATTCTGGCGCGGCCTGTGGTCAGAGCCCATAAACCACAGCGAGGGCCCTTTGACGGAAGTTGTGGCGAGTCAGTGTGCGAGTATAACGCCCACGGACCCCGTCATTATAACGCCGGATGACGTAGCTGAGGCGGTCCGTAGGGCCCCGAACTGGAAAAGTCCGGGACTCGACGGGCTGCATCACTACTGGCTGAAGGGGTTTGTGGTGTGTCACACTGTGCTCGCCCGACAGTTCCAAGAGGCTCTCAACCAGAAGTCGCTCCCGAGCCTCTTCACTACTGGGATCACGCATTTGGTTCCTAAAGACCAGGTTACCACAGACCCGAGCAAATACCGCCCCAATCACGTGTCTGCCGACCATATACAAGACACTAAGATCCATTTTTAACGCGAGAATCACTCGTCACCTGGAATCAAATCAGGTGATGTCGCGCGCTCAAAATGGATGTCGGGGCGGCGGTTGTGGAACCAAGGAACCACTCTTCATTGACGCGGATATTGGCAAAGTGGTGAAACGCAACCGTCGGAACTTCTCCGCCGCCTGGATAGACTACAGAAAGGCATTTGACTCGGTGCCCCATACATGGCTAAAAAAGAGGTTCCTCGAGCTGTACAAGAATGATTGTACAGTTCGAGACTTCCTCGAGAAGTGTATGGGGCAGGGAGTACGATCCTCTGTCATCTAGGCGAGCGGATGACGGCTGCGGAAAGCCGCATAAGAGAAGAGAGAGAAGCCGGATAAGAAGGGGTATATTCCAGGGCGACTGTGTCACACACACCACACACACACACACACACACACACACACACACACACACACACACACACACACACACACACACACACACACACGCACGCATACACGCACGCAGAAGCACACGCACGCACGCACGCTCGCTCGCAGAGTCCAATCTGGTTCTGCCTCTCTTTGAACCCTCTCAGTACTTTACTGGAGGGTTCCGGGAGGGGATTTCAACTTCGGAAAGGAGGGACAAAAGTGACCCACCTTTTCTATATGGATGACATCAAGTTATTCGCCTCCAGTCGCTCCCATCTTATCATTGCTAAACATCACTTGTGAATTTAGCAATTCCATTGGAATGGAGCTGGGGACGGATAAGTGTGCGGTCCTTCATGTTGAAAGGGGAAGGGTTGCTAACTCTGAGGGCATAGACTTATCTATGCCCGTCAACTTAAGGACCCTTTCCGAGGCTGAAACATACCGATACCTGGGTATGTCACAGAACATCGGTATCGATGAGGCTGGTATGAAACAGTTTGCGATGTGTTTTATGCACGCTTGACCAAAGTGCTTAATGGCCTTTCGTCCGGTGTAAATAAGACACACGCATATAAAGGTCGGGTCATGCCTGTCCTCATGTATACTTTTGGCATACTCAGGTGGACTGAGACTGAACTTAACGCCCTGGATATAAAAGTCTGCACTACAATGAAGTCCCATAGGATGCGTCATCCGAGGTCTTCGGTAATGAGGCTGTACTTGCCGCGAAAGCATGGTGGGCGTGGTTTTCTGAGCGCGCACACCATGCATAATCGTGAAGTGTGCAGCCTCCGTCGTTACTTCTTGGCGAGATCAGATGATCCATTCTATAATGACGTCATTTCTAGTGATAAAGGGCTTACCCCTCTATCCTTAGCCAACGAGCAATGGCAAGACCCAGAAGTGCTTAGCATTTCCGACCGGGAGGCTGTATGGAAGGAGAAGGAGCTCCACGGGAGGTACTACAGGGCTCTACATGAGCCATTCGTAGATACAGTCGCCTCCCTCAACTGGCTACGTTTCGGTGACCTCTTCGGGGAAACCGAGGGTTTTGTGCAATACAGGATCAGGTTATTAAGACCAACAACTATCGGAGATACATCTTAAAGGCTAGGATGGCACCGTCGACGTCTGTCAAGCTTGTCGCCATCCCGGTGAGTCGCTTAGGCATGTCATCTCCGGTTGTTCGACGCTTTCTAACTGAGTACTTGCACAGACACAACCTAGTAGCCAGAATTCTACATCAGGAGCTCGCTCTGAATACGGTCTCGTGGACCGGAGATTGCCGTATTACTAGTACTTGCCGGAAGCCGTGCTCGAAAATGACCGCGCCAGGCTCTACTGGGACTTGGCAATCATCACAGACAGGACTATTCTTGCGAATAAGCCTGATATTGTGCTGATGGACCGGGCACAGTCAAGGATATTTTTGGTCGATATTACCATTCCGTATGACGAGAACCCCGTGAAATCCGAAACAGATAAGCGAACTCAATCTGGACCTGGCTCATGAGGTGACTGACATGTGGGGTGGTCTGCCGGCCGAAATTATTCCTGTAGTCGTCTCTGCGAATGGGCTAATCCCAGTCAGCCTCTCGGATCATCTGAGGCGACTGGGACTCCGTGACGGACCGCTCCGGGCTCAAATGCAGAAGGCAGTGCTCCTCGATACCGCCCGCATCGTCCGCCGGTTTCTTCTTTCCCTTTCCTCCTAACCCTCGGCTGTCTGGTCTCCCCTGCCAAGGGCTCCCATCTGGGGTTGGATCTTTATTTATTTATGTATTTTTTGTATTTTAATTTATTTTATTGATATTTATGTATATTTATCTTTTCATTTTAATTTATAATTATATATTTATAGAACCCAACCAGATGATAAAACTATATATATACCCCAAATTATAATAATAATTTCTTTATTTACCAAAACACCGCTTAAAATCTGTCAAATGATTCGGCTACTTTAACAATCACTATTAGATCCATTTTCCAATGAAACATGATAGGTCACTTCTCTCAAAATGTTTAGGGAAGTTTAAAAATAGTTTTTTTTTAAATATATATAATATATAAAATATAATATAATCTATTATTAACTTGTAATTTTTCGTTTTTTTTTTAAATAAATTATAAACTGCGTACAAAATATGTATTTGTGATATATATTTTTTTTTTTATATATATATTATATATTATATATATATATACACATCCATCCCATAACTTATTGTACGTCCACTGTGTATACTATTAATGGATGTACTGTTGCTTGATTGAAAAATATAGGTAAGAGCTGTCAAACATACCCAGGTGAACACTTAGACAGAAAAATAGTTTTACCACTTAGTAAACTTGTATAGTAAAAAAATATTAGTTAATATATATATATATATATATATATATATATATATATATGTATATATATATATATATATATATACAATAGCAAAATGATACATTATTTTAGTAAAAGATGTGTCAATCTAAATATTTTTTTGTAGTTTTAAAATAAACTGATAACTAACTGCAATCACCACAGTTTGTTGTAAGTTGTTGTCATAAACACACAAAATCGCCAGAGACTGTCAAACCCATTAAATACATGGAATTTTAATATTTTTTTACCTGTTTTGCAGTTCATTTTAGAAAGGCTTTTGTGATAAAGACTACTGAGTCGATAGGTTATCGCTGCCTTAAATTTCAAAGGACTTTCTGTTATTAGAGTAAAAAAATAGAATAATACAGTCTGCGATTTGTGATTAAGAAATGAGTAGACTGTTAATTTTATATTACAGCTTGAAAATGTCACTCTGTTACGTTTATGAAAACAGTCTAGTTTTTTTTTGCAAAATTTAAAACGCATTGAAGTTTCAAAGAAAACTATAAGAGCTAAGTAGAATTAACAAGTTGTCGAGAAATAGGTCGACTACTAATTATAAAATGTATAAAATACAAATTACTGATTCGTTTAACGTGACTTAGATCTCACTCACTTCGCTTGCTCGTTTATTAAGTATAAATATAAAAGTAAACACTTAAATGTAAATCCTCCTTTTTTGATAGTCGGTTAAAACAATAAGTTGTCCCATCACTAGTTACGAAATTCTCATATTAAGATGATCGGGGTAAGCATGACATTGTCACACTCGCCTCTGATGTATTAAGTGAGGTAAGTGGAACTGATTTCAAGTAACAGAAACATTACACTATAAGAACCAATAATATTCTTTATCAACTCACCTCGTATCTTGTTTAAAATATCTTAATGACGTAAACTTTACGTTGGAAACACTTGAAAACTTCGCCTCATAAAATTGCGCGGGCTTTTCACCAGTTTGGTAGTTTATAAAAAATGACCTCAGTCGATAAAATAACTTATGCACTTAACTGTCGGTACAGTCAATAGCGTAAAAGTTCCTGCCATGTTCAATCCAATTAACCAAAAAAACATTAATGTCGCATATTATGCATTTGTCCACTGTGCACTGTCACAATTGCCCCACTGTCACTCTTGCCTCAGTCTACCTTAATTGTCTTTCAACAATTGCACTGAAAACTTCGACACAATTTTAATAATTTTCGACTGAAATATATGTAATTGAACACCTTACCTTTTATTGTGATACGAAAATTCGATCAATATTGAACCATTTAATTGCATTTTAACTAATTATTATATTTTATAAATTTATCTTGCCAAGCGTGTCGAATCGCGCGCAGAAAAAGTTACAATACTCCCTCTTGTCAATTTTGAATCTAATGCATTAAACTGTCTCTCTCTAATTTGAGTATCTATAGATAAAACTGTCCCATTCGCATCCTTGCACCGTACGCATTTATCACTTGTCAGTCCCGCTAGAAACAGCGAGGTCCAGGTCCTCATAAGGAGATATAAACGATATTGGCAGAAAAAAAGCGCTGTTAACTTAAATGGTATTTCTGTATCGCACTAAACCAACTTTGTGAACTGTGGATTTTAATTTTAAATATACCTTCATTAAAAAGTAAAAAAAATTGAGATAGATGCTATTGATTCTTAACCGATCATATATACTTTCGGAAATCATTCCTTTCTTTTTCTAAGGCCGACTGGTAAAGAGAAAATACTTTTTGTATCATCGCAGTGGTAGGTTTTTTTTTTCGTAATTTTCTAATAATACAAAGTGGTGTTTGGTGCAGTCGCACGCCGGGGTCGCGGCAGCCGTCGCCGGCGGAGGAGGAAGGCGGCAACGGCGGGGCGGGCGGCGCGGCGGGCGCGGGCGGTGCCGTGCGCAACGGCGAGGCGGGCGCCTTCCCACTGCTGCCGCACGCGCTGCCCGCCGCGCCCGCGCCGCTGCACCACCTGCCGCACCTGCCGCACCCACAGCACCCCCAACACCCGCAACACCCGCAGGTAACCAAACACCCTATTTAGCTGGCTGTTACATCATATAACTGCTATGTATTTCGCGATTGTTGTGAGGGGGGTACATTTTAAAATAAAATTTTACCCCAACTACGAAGTCAATAATTCAATTGTAGTTTAAAAAAAATATAAAAGTTCTGAATAACACCAACTATATTTTTTATTAAAACAAAACCTGTATAAAAAGTTTCAAATGTGATGCTTATTTTGCATTCCATGTATTAAGAGGGCGGGTCAAAAAGTTCGTGGAATGTCACTACTGGCACTACTCGGTGACTCGATACAACTATGAATTCCAAGTTATGAATGAATGAATTTCAGTTTAAACAAGTCAATCGTGAAGTGAAAACGAACTACGGAGAACATTGAGTTACGTGCCGTGATGACGTGATGAAAGTCCTCTACTAGGAAGGAAAAACATCACATATCATTATTGAAGAGATGTCATCTGTTTATGGGGGACTCTAGCTCAGAATTGACGAATAACTTCAAAAAATTGTTCTTGAACCCATTCGTGCTATAACCATAATATACCTGCAGCGTGGTTCTACCACATATAAAATTGCCTACACAGGTTGACAAACTCAAATGTACACATGACCCTCTGAATCCTATTGGAGGCACCTGCCATTCCTTTCTAATATTTATACTTATCCTTGTCTTACATATGCACCATTTCACTCTTACGTTAAACTGTCTATAACTAACATATTGGTATGTCTTATCAGTGCTTAAAACATTAAGTAAACATTAATCAAAAGTGCTTAAAACTAATAAAATGTTATTAATTCCTTATTTAAATTGTATTACATAGCCCATTACTATGTTAATGCATTAATCTAAGTTTATAAATAACCACCTTGGCATGTCTAAGGTCAGTGCAAGATGGGTGCCAAGAATGCACAAACCTATTCAGAAAGAGTGGAGTGCCTAAAAAGTTTAAGGTGACATAATCGGCTGGAAAGATGATGGTTCCAATTTTTTGGATTCAGAGGAGATTTTATTGATCGATTACAAAGATAAAGGAGTCAATATCACGGCAAGAATAACGCTACGTTACTAAAAAATTAAGCTGCGATTAAAAGAAAAAAAGGGTAAAGTGGTCTTAAGTTGGGCTCCTTTTGCACGACAACACACGCATTTACGAGATGTTGCGATGGCTTTCGTACACAAATGCGGCTTTAAACCTTAAAGGGACGGTCCTTTAGTCCAGTTTTGGCCCCTAAGGATTATTATTCCCAAATATGAAAAAATTGCTTCAAGGAAAGAAATTTACAGACGACGAAGAAGTCAAATCGGCAATTTTTGTCTATTTTGAGGACCTTGACAAAACATTTTTGAAGGTACAAATAAGTTATTTGTACAGTCTGAGAAGTGTGTTAGGAAATTAAAAACGTATCGAAAAGGAAAAATAATTTCATGTTTAATTTCACCGCCTTTCCCTTTCATTCCACGAACTTTTTGACCTTCTACTCAATGTAGAGAAAATATATGAAAATTATATATTTGTAACTTTCCTCAAATTTCAAATAAAATTAACACTTGCATAAAAAGAAGTATACTCCAATTTTTTTTTATTTGGTCAATAACTAACTCTAGTTATGAAGCTGTAGTGCATTAGGATAGTACAGATCAAATTTTAATTATAAAGGTTTTTTTGCGTCACTTCAGAACCCCATGTAAAGGCATTTAGCCTTTACATAAAATTTTATGAAGTAATCATTTCATATATTAAGTTTTTTTTTTCTATTATTTAAATATTATAAATAAAATTTTACCTGATGAAACTTCCATGTTGTGAATGGATGCAAGTTGCTCAGGACCATATTTGTGACAATCTATGGAGGCATATATTCAGCATTTGAATTATGATGAGTTATAGTGATAGTAGAGAAGTGATAGTAACCTAATGACAGGGTGCGGGCCGTGAACTCTAAAGGTTGTGGGTTTGAATCTGCCATTTGACCACTGTCGTGAACCACCCCTAACATAAGCATTTTAAGATGACCAGGAATGGTTGAAGGGAATGATAGTAATGTTAATAGCATGCTAGTACATTTTTTTAAATAAAATGTAATTCATATATATTTTACAAGTTCATATTAATCTACACATAGTATGAAACAAAGTAGCTTCCCACCGCCTGTACGCTTGGATACTTTAAACTACGCAACGTATTTTGATGCAGTTTTCATCAATAGACAGAATGATTCATTAGGCAGGTTTATATGCATAATACACGCATGTTATCGAGATCCAAAAATCACCCGTGCGAAGCCGGGGCGGATCCCTAGTTAGTTATAAATCATTTAGTGTGTAAATATCGTAATTACTCTTCATCTGTGTGTAACTTTATTACAATTAAGTTTATTTATTACTATAATATCATTTTACATTTTATTAATTTATTTTGGAAATTTCTTTTTCAGCATCATCCAGGGATGTTAGGCGTGGCTCCACTGCAGGGATTGCCACATCCTCAACACCCCCAAATTCATCCCGGTAATTGTTTTCTATTTCACTTATTTATTTATTTGATTTTTATATTCTTAGCTTAATAATGGCTTATCTTATTCCAGGCATGACTCTGAACGACTCTATGAATCAGCACATTGAACTCGTTTTGCAAATGGAGCAACATCCACAGTTTGATAATAACAGTTTTGCAAGTACACAGGTAAAAGCTTTAAGAATTTACTGATTATTTCTTTTTGCACATAACATAAACATTACAAAGGTTTGAGGAAAGTTGTGAAATATTTTTTAAACCTTTGATAGAAAAAGGTAATAAGATGACTTTCAAGGTGGACGTGATTTTTTTTCTTCTTATTACTTAGTTGAACGAGATCTAAATAACAGAAAATGAAATATGTGGTACGGTGAGCGTGCTCGGTATGTGTAGTCGACAACTATCATTTGAAACAGTGTAGTACGCCACTATGGAGGAAAGCATGACATTGCAACCGCCCTGCGTGGTATTATCACCCGAGCTGAAGGCGATACTACGCGGGTTGCGATGTCCTACTTTTCTCTTGTAGTGCGTATACTATTTTTGTGTGGGTGGCCGATAATTACTAACTTCTTTCTTATCTCCACTTGTCTAAATCGGTATTACAATAGATCGCTTCAGCAGCTTCGGAAAGACGCTTTACAAAACATATTTGCAAAATGGCAGAGGATGGGGACAAGTAGTTGTTTAGCCATCTTGAGAAATCCTGTTGAAATATTGTCCCAGCCAGGGTCAGAATCTGATTTGAGACCTGCAATAATACTGCTCTCTTCCGGATAGGTGCCTTTAAAGATACAGTTTTATGTACTTCATCAATAAGGCTAAAAGATAAACAATTATTAGGATTGTTAGTACTTATTTTCTCGGCAATATTTTTAACCACACTAGCAAAGTACTCGTTTACTTTATTAATCAAATCACCCAGTGAGGGTTTCGATATTAACAAGTCTAAAATATTGACACTTGATTGTTTTGTATAGGTTATGTTCTTTGAGTTTTAATTGATTTGGATGATATTGCTGAAAGTTTCCTTTCATATTCCCGTTTAAGTTTCTTGATTAATTATGTCAACTGTTCAGTGATGTCTCAGTGAGCGCGTTCACATGCGGGACTTAGGCAACATCAGTACAGCTCGTATCGAATAAGCGATCGAGCGAAACCGAGGCTCCAAAGTCTTTGCCACGGATCTGTCTGTCGGAAAGTACAATCTGGCGAAGCTGAAGATCGAGTGTAGCGGCATCGTTTCCGGGAAACCTGAGATTTTGAGAGGTTATATCGGCAGCTGTACACGTCATCGTCGGAGTCACACGCAAATGTGAGTAGGGATCCAAGAGCAAGTCTCTTATCCGACAATATTCCGATGAAATCCCGGACATCAGTCAGAGCGAGATTAGGCGAAGTTTAGGGCGACTCCCTGCTTGATGGAGTGACGACCTGGTAAGACATACATGAAGTCGATGGATATAGGCGGCTCAGGACCGTGCTTTGTGGGAGGATATCTTGGATACCTTGGGGGAGGCCTATGTTCAGCAGTGGACTTGTGAAGGGCTGTAATGATGATGATGATGATGAATTGTGCAATAAATTATTTTATTGCAAAATTTATAATAGATTAGAACACTCTTGTGCCCCGGGCTGGACTTTGCGTGTACGTCAGAGAGGACATCTGTTTTCGATGCCTCGGCAGCCTTGAAGGTGTCCTGTGCCCTGTCCATCTTATGGCTGCGCGTAAACAGCGACGACCGTCCCCGCGTCTACGGGTGCCTATATAGTTCTCATAGCGGTAATGCCGGCACATACCGACTGATCGACCAAGTCCATCCGCAGAGATCGTGATATTTGGTGATTTTAACGCCCACCATGCTGAATGGCTTGGTTCTCGTTTAGCCGATCATGCGGGTAGATCTGTTTATGACTTTGCTTTGGCATATGGGCTGACACAACTGGTTACCTCGCCTACGCGGATCCCAGATGTGGAAGATCATTTAACTTCCCTGTTGGACCTTCTGCTAACCTCTTATCCGGACGGATATCAGGTCTCCGTTGATGCTCCTCTTGGCTCCTCGTACCATTGTCTGATCCGGAGTACGGTGCCACTCACGCTCCCATCGCGGTTGCGTACTGCAGGTTGCGGCCGTGTTTGGCATTATAGGTCAGTCGATTGGGACGGGATGCGATCTTTTTTTTGCATCCTACACTTGGAGGCGGGCTTGCTTCTCGCCGGATGATCCCAGCGTAGTTGCTGATTCTGTCGCTGATGTGGTGCTACAGTGAATGGAATTATTTATTCCATCATCTGTGGTACCTGTGGGAGCAGAACCCAGCCTTGGTTTGGTCGCTCCTGCAAAATTGCATTACATCTCCGCCTACGACGTCTCGGTATGTAAATACCAGCGTTCTTAAAAAGAAGTATTATTCTGCCTCCAGGTCCTTCAAAAGTGTCATTGTCAAGGAAAAGTAGAATTGGCGAGAAACTTGTTCGTCTTCCTTCGGGAACACGTGCATTCTGGTCTCTCGCCAAGGCTGTCCAATGGAACTTCTGCCAGCCATCTCTTCCATTTCTGCACAGAGAGGACTCACTGGCCCATGCCGCAAAGGACAAAGCCAAGCCGATCTACTAGGCTCTCTCTTTACGTTCAACTCGACTCTTGATGCTGGTGGAAGACACCGCCGACCATCCCGCAGTGTGAGTACTCCATGCAGGATCTCCTCTTTACCCAACGCTCAGTGCGCAGAGCACTCTTCTCGCTGGACGTCAACGAGTCGAGTGGGCCGGATGGTGTCCCTCCTATTGCGTTGAGGACGTGTGCTCCGAAGTTGGCACCGGTTTTAACGCGTCTTTTCCGGTACTCCTACTCCCTCGGCGTAGTCCCGAAATCATGGAAGACAGCCCTCGTGCACCCGATCCCTTAAAAAGGTAACCACTCTGATCCGTCCAACTATAGGCCATCGCCATCACCTCCTTGTTCTCTAAAATAATGGCATCCATTATTAACAGCCGGCTTATGCGATACCTTGAGGATCACCAGCTGAATAGTGACCGCCAGTACGGTTTCCGTCGCGGTCGTTCGTCTGGTATTCTAGGTTACCTAACTCATAAATGGGCGAAGGCAGCAGAGTCCAAGGGGGAGGCGTTAGCCGTTAGTTTGGACATAGCGAAGGCCTTCGAACGGGTTTGGCACAAAGCGCTTCTTACGAAGCTTCCTTCCTATGGGCTTCGCGAGAAATTGTGCAATTGGATCACTAGTTTTCTTGCTGATCGGAGAATCAAGGTCGTAGTTTTTTTTACAGAAGAGGAGACAAACGAGCATAGGGTTCACCTGATGTTAAGTGACTACAGCAGGCCATGACTAATTGCAATACCAGGGGAATTGCCAGCAAGCATCCAGATGATGTAGATGGTATCGGGAGGTTTGCCGCGTAGTGCGTTCGTGAAATTTGGCGATGATCTGTATACCGGCCGTGCCAATATTTCTCGGGAAAACGTCTCCGAGTACCGGGACAAACTTGTGTCTGAAGTCAGAGTCCTTGCTGAACAAAGTCTCTGATTGGGGGCGTCTAAATCTAGTCCAGTTTAACCCTCAGAAGACTTAAGTTTGCGCGTTAACCGCTAAAAGGAACTCCTTTGTCGTATCTCCTCAGTTTCAAGGCACTCCCCTTGTTGCCTCAGCCAGTATCGGATTCCACGGCGTCGGCATATCGAGTGACGTGCAGTTTCGTGGTCACTTTGAAGAGAAGGCCAAATTGGCCTCTAAAAAGCTTGGCGTGCTCAGCAGAGCGGAACAGTATTTCATGCTGGCACACCGCCTGCAATTTTACAAAGCGCAGGTTGGCCACACATGGAATACTGTTCCCATCTCTGGACTGGGGCTCCCCAGTACCAGCTTCTTCCACTTGACCGCATTCAGCGTACAGCGACTCGAATTGTCGACGACCGAGTGCTTTCCGATCGGCTCGATTCACTGGCGCTGCGAAGAGATGTTGCATCTCTTTGAGTATTTTTTCGCATCTACCACGGGGAGTGCTCTGATGAATTGTTCGGACTAATTCCAGCCGCACAGTTTTAACATCGCACATCGCGACAAAACTCGCGATACCATCCATACCATCAGGATGACTGGCGGTCCACCACTACGCGATTTAAAAGAAGTTTTCGTCCTCGCACAACTTCCTTGTGGAAGCAACTACCATTAGAGATTTTTCCGGACCAATACAACTTAGGGACCTTCAAGAAAATAGCCTATTCCTTTTTAAAAGGCCGGCACCGCATCTGCAATCCCCCTGGTGTTGCACCTGTTCACAGCCGGCGGAAGTAACTTACCATCAGGTGAGCCGTATGATCGTTTGCCCCCTCTCCTGTAAAAAAAAACGTGTCGAAAGAACAGCGGGAAATGGAATTTAAATAAAGGAGGAATATTTTACAACCAGTAAGTAGAAACTATTTACTTACATTTTGTGAATATTAAAAACAAAAATATATAAATATTGATGTGTCAAAAACTACAGATATTGCAAGTACTAGACATGTAACAAAAATTTACCGATACCGATAAGCCGGATAATACTTTCGCTTTTAAATTTGTACTTGGCTTAATGAAAAGCTAAATAGATACAATAAAATATGATGAAAAATATAAATTTGATGACCTACGAATAAACTCACTAAAACATTTTTATTAAATGGTAAATTTGTTCCCTCTATAGGATAACATTAAAAGTTTGCAAATAAAATTTTTAGATTCGATCTTCTGGGTACGTATCATCGTTACTATATACTATATATTCACCTCACGCCTCATTAGCTCATTACCCACAAAGGGTTGGGTAGACCCATTTTGTGTTAAAATTAAATATATATATGTATATACTTTCATACTTTTTCATCCGATTTCGCGCTTGTCTTGTATTGCTTACCAATACTGTACTATTTATTACTATTGGTACTTTTTTGATATTTTTCGTTTCCATAACCCATTTGGCAGTTTTTTTGGAGATCCGGACTTAAAGAATATATAGTAGACTTACACACTCAATCGATTAATGATAGGTTATAATCGATAACTGATAGTTTGAATTGTTACGGCCTAGTAAGCTTTTGATAAATGTTACTATTCCATAACTTTGAATAAGTTTTATTATTCCGTAAATATTATTTTATTTATTAAAGG